CTCCAGGATCTTCCTTGAAATATCGTATCGTAGGTTTGGGATTGAGGAAGTTGAGAATCGATTTTGGAGGTACGAAGGGATGTTATGCTCATGTACGCCCACATACATTATGGCCTCTTTTACCACGCGTTCTAGCTCTCATTCCTTTTCGGTACCTTGCCACGTCAGCTTGAGTATCGTGTCGTTCATTATGAAGCTGTCGTCTGTATCGCATTGCTGTGAATATGGCCATGAACTCGATGCTAATGAATTATCATCCTCCTTTCGCTACGAAGGAGGAAGATGGACGAAAGGAGATGAAGGGAAAGTCTTCCGCTTTCTTTCGCCCACACCTCCATTCTCTTTACGTTTATTTCCACAATNCCGCGGGGGGGGGGGGGGGGGGGGGGGGGGGGGGGGTTCTAACCCCCTAAACCCTCCCCCCCCCCTTCCCTACGCCACTGAACCATTTCAGAGTGGACGTGTAACGGACGTGTTACCGCCATCCGGATGGCGCTTAACATGGATTGCATGTTTCTTGAAGGCATTCTCTCCTCATACCTATTCGAGATGGTTCGAGGAACTCCAGATAGGCCTAATGTTCCACATCCCACTGAAATGGTTCATGAAACGGGAAACAGGCATCAAATCGGTCTAACGTTACATGTCCTCTCTGAAATGGTTCGTGAACGTAGGAAAAGGCCTGCGATTAGCCTAACGTTACACGTCCGCTACGAGATGTCTGGAAGACCACGGATTCACCCTACTAGGGCTAATTGGCGCACTAAGTCGAGAATTGAGTTTCTTTTGAAAAGAAAAAGGTAGGCCTTGGCGTTACCTGAAGACAACCTGTTGAGCCCCGTAGTGAGGTTGAAAGAAGGGAAAGCCATTGAAAATTGGTTTACATATTACTACATGTTATCCTCCAAGAAAGGGGCTGTATAAAGTTATCGTCAGGACTTGTGGTAATTTCTTTTTCAACACGATTCTTAAGCGATTGTTCCTTTTCAGAATGAGTCCACCCCTGACCCCTTTCACGTGGTGAAACGACTGTCATCTCTTTACTTAGCCTTGGTTTTGCCCTAACTCTTTCAATGAAATCTGTACTCTTTCAGGCGTAAATATCTTTTACTTGCACCTTGTGTCTTCTACATTCCGGCCAGGGTAGTTCTGTGGAATCCCATTCAATAAAGCCAGCGTGCTGTTATGCGTATTATAAAATGTCGTTTTCCGTTGAAGATTGTCTTGAACGTGGCCAAAGAAGGCTCGTTCTCTGGTCCCGGTGTTTCCGAAGCGATGCGTGGAACTCTCCTAATTGACACGTCATGCCAAACTCTCTCCATTCTTCCACCTACGTAGTACATCCAACCATCTCGCAATAGTCGCCATCCTAGACTCACCACGCATCCGATAGTTTTAGCATTTTTTGGAAATTTAGCTAACCATAGAGGATAATGTTTATTACAGTTCTGACTATTAAAGTTTTATCGTGAAGAAGACATTCACTTGCTAATTCAGTTCCAATCTCGTTGGCCGGAGGCTTTCTTTCTGAATTCATGTTATTCACCCTACCATTCTTCCTGTTAATTCATGTACCAGAAAGCGAATCCCGTATAACCGGTAGCAGTGGTGAACCTTGCAACGCAGGTTCTAGCTGCACAAGTGATATAATATGTATATTCTGGTTTTCCATGTCACTCTACCTGAACATACCCCGAAAAGACTTGGAATTCGGACCTAACGGCCACTTCTTACATCATGGTTCAATCTACTGATTTGAAGTTTCTGGGACTATATGATTATCTGAGATCCAACATCGGATAGTTTAGAGTTTAATAATGCAAATGCTTTTTTCAGGAACCCTTTGTAAAATTAATGGAATGGTCTGATGCCAGTCACCCTCTCTTAATGGATTAATGGCAATGCAAGCAGGGATGATGCAGATAAAACGCATGTGACGTAGAGGTATATTGCGTTCAATCGGGTAGGGGCCCCGATCCCATATCCCAGAATCAGCAATTAACATTTTTCACTTTTTATTCCACACTTTTCTCCACATCGGAAAACCCCCAAATATTTTATCTTATATTTTGTCATACCATAGGACTCATCGGGCACATTCCACTGTCCCCGAATTCTCCGTTGGCCGACACAGCGAATTTGAGTGATTCGGTTGACTCCAACACTAAAGAGGTGGAGTGCTTGGAAACAAGAACCCAGTTGCTGGGTTCACATCTGGGCCAGGGCGGAGAGGAAGGACACCAAAACACGGTGAAATTCCTCGTCTTCTCCTCTTCGAGTGCCCTCCATTCCAACACGTACCTCCTGTCATCCGTTGTGTCCTCTCTCAAGATCTTCGGGCAAGCGATTCCTATTTACCGGGGGATTCAAGATACCTAGTTACCGGGAGAATTATTATGGCTACTTCCCAAGCAAGCACTGTAGCATTACGGGCACGTGCAGAAAGATAGTCGATTGAGCGTCGGTGAAAGTTCTATTTCAGCGTTGCACTAATGTCTCACGGAAACGCACACGTTTTTATTCAATGTTCAGAGCCAATCATCATTTTTGGATTCATAATTCTAAAAAAAAAAAGAAACTAATGCTCGCGGTAAATTCGCGCTTTCGCGAGTGATTCAAATAGAGTCAACCAATGTGTTAGATGCGTTAATGCAAGGTACAGTCGAACTCGGTTATAACGTCATCGAAGGGACCAGGTAAAAACCGTCGTTATAACCGAGGTTCGTTATAACCGAGGTTGCCTTTATTGGCACTCCGTTTTCCTGCTTTCAAAATTGATGCCATATAACGTTACAACTCCAGTTTACATTGGTCATACAGCACTAGCTTCAGTTTCAAGATTGACCCACTGTGATGTTCGCACTTCTTTGGACCTTGAACTACTTTATACTTTAGCAAGGCTTCGTCGATGTCATCTCGACAGACCTAGGAAGTTTCTTGCCTTGTGACATGTTCTCGTAAGCACGGATGAAACTGTCACGACTTTCCCAAATTGTGGAAACAGATGAACAGATGTCCATGTTCGCGAGCGACGTTAGCTTCACTTCGAGCTCTTTCTATTAAACTAATCGAGCACACTTTCCTTTCAATCGTGAAGGCTTGCCTCTTTGGTTTTCCATTGGCCATGTTGTCAACGNAGCACACTTTCCTTTCAATCGTGAAGGCTTGCCTCTTTGGTTTTCCATTGGCCATGTTGTCAACGAGAAATGCAAACGACGACTGAAGATAAGATGATCTTAGTTACTGGGGATTATCCCTCCCTAACATTGCTCCAGCCACACCCACATGACTCTCAAGGAATGCCGAATCCAGCAAATATGAAGTTATGGCTCGCCAATGCTAATTTTTCCGATGACGGAAATTTCAGCTAAGAATGACGGATGAACGCTGTCGATTTCGTCTGTGGGACCTTCAATGGACTTCGTTATAACCGAGGTTTCGTTATAACCGAGTTCGCTATAACCGAGGTAAAATGTAACGTGCCTTATGGGCTCTACGCCGGGACCTGGCACTTTCGTCGTTATAACCGAGGTTTCATTATAACCGAGGTCGTTATAGCCGAGTTCGACTGTATATGTACAGTATAATACTTATAAGCACCTGTCACATTTAACATAAACTTAAGCATGGCGTACGAAAGCGAAATCGAGAACCACCTGCTGTCCCGGCAGCACACAACGGTGGGCAAACATTGGCTGCAAGTGGGGGAGCTTGGGCCTACATAGCAGTGGGCTGCCCGTGTAGGCCCAACATCGGCCCTAGGGCGGCAGACATCTGTTATGTCTCAGAATGAGACATCTATCTCAGTTACTTGAACAAAAAGCTTCCCACAGTTGATGCGAGATGGCGACTATGCAGCCTCAATTTCAGTGGGATCATGGAGTGACTCATTAATTTAATACTCCAGTACCTCTCTTGTGGTACTTGATCCATTTCCATTGAGAATGTATAGGAAGACACTCGAATTTCAAAAATCATTTGTTTAAACGTGTTAAGCAGTTCAAGGAGACTCCTGTTAATCGGGGAGGAGGCATGATTCAAATCGGGGCTTCTCTCAATATTGCGAGGATGAAAAATGCAAGTTTTTTTCTCTTGTGGAGGCTACGACTGGCTTCCCTTCTAAGGGGAGTTTCGGGTGTGATGAAAGATATGATCATCCGAGTCTTGTCGGACAAGCACTCGGGCAATGGGCCTGAGTGATAAGTGAAATCACAATGAAGCTCAAATCCCATATGGAATTTGAATACCTCAAAAGATGACAATCGAGTGAAGTACTTCTCCCTGGAGTACTTCAAGCCCGACCGAGAAAGACTCGGTGGCATGGTCCCCTGTAGGGGAGCTGAACAATTACGTACGGAAATACAATCTCGATCAAAGCCTCCTTGAATCGCTTGAATGTCATGCCGCATGTTGGCATTTGACGTTGCCCCAACGTTGGAAACCAATGTTGGAAACCAATGTTGGGTCCACATCGTCAATGTTGAATTCCAACATAGGCCCAACGTTACTCCCACGTGTGTGCTGCCGGGGTGGTAGTCGCACAAGCAGATATCTCTCGAACAATGAACGTTAGATGGTGCCTGAATCGTCAATGATAGAAATCACATTGAGAAGCCCCTGGAAGTCCTTATCTCGTGTTCGAAGTAACATCGATCATTTTCCGCTTACAGCTCATCAGATTCCACAAGAACTCATTAATATATTCTTCTCGATGTTTGGAGTAGGGGACCTCTTGGAGGATAAGGGGAAAGGTTTTCTTGGATCTCAATTTCTCAACACAGAAATGAATATTCAAGAACGTTCAGCCGAGAATTTTAATTAGCAGTACAACTTGGACTGAATGATCATAAGTAACGCTGTACCAGCATTCTGAAGAAGTAATATTTATGTTACGTTTCGAAAAGCGACATTAAAATATTCGCTTCATTTTTCATCCAACTCTTGGGAAGATTGAAAATTATTGTTTCCCTCGCTGCTTAAGTGTTCACGTGCTTGCTGGGTCAAAAAGTGAATGCTGAAGAAGGCTCACGGTACTTTTCCTCTTCGACGTGAAGCATCGATGGCTGAGGAGATGTTCCCATTGAGTTTCTGGAAACGATGGAGAATTTGTAGGGGAGCTCAGTGCTAAGGCTCCTGAAGACGGCGAACGTGTCTGTCACGATTGACGGCTGGACCCTCTTTCTTGTTGGGATTTCCAACCCTTCAACCTGCATCGCATGAACGATAAGAAATTATCGTTCTTTACTCATAATAAATAAACAATAAAACTTCATCCAAAAGCTCGCTTCTATTTGATGCAAAGTTTTTTCGTTTTCATGGAAGGCGGACGAAGGGTGACGGGGGTGGGTGGGGAAGAACGCACACTTCTTTATTAATCCTTTGGGGTCTGAGTTTTTCTTTTACTGTCTTCACGTGTCGATTCGAGTTTTTTTTTCACTCCCACAAAGGAATAATAAAAAATGCATGACTGCAACACTCGTACGAATGGGGTTGCGTTTACAATATGTTATTCTAAACATTTCGAGCTATTTTTGTTCTAGATATATCAACTTAATTTTAAAAAATTGAACAGGAATGTCAGTGGGAAGCTTCTTTCAACACTGGAGAAAGGTGTGGTAGTGCTCCATGCTCTGGTGGACGCATAGGGGCTTCTCACAGGTGTCGCATATTTAACGCGCTTTTTGCTTCTTCTTCGGACCCATGCATGAGTGGGTGCACACGTGACACACTCTAGTCTTTCCAATAACTACTGTCATCAGTTTCTGGTAGGTGCTCGAGTAGTCGCGGATTGAACTTTTTCTCACATGCCCCATTAGCATACTTAATAATGTACGAAAACGTACCTAATGTACGAAACATCATGATCTCAGAAGTGTTAGTAGGGACCAGTTCATCTTCTGGGAGATGAACCTCCTTGTAAAATTTGGTTTGTCTCCTGCACCAACTTTTCGCACAGTTTTGGTATAAAAAGTTCAGACAAAAAATATTGTTCTTGCGCTACAATTTGACTCAAATGATGATTCCACATCTTAAGAAAATCCCAGAAAACAAAAGCCATCATTGGAATCATTATTCAAGTCAAAATCTAAGTCAGCATATAGCAAATCGACAACAATTTCTTTTGATAGTTTGCGGCGAGTCATGTCTGCTAGACATGTTTGCTTCTATCAGCTGAATAGCTGATAGAAGTTACCACGAAACCCCACATGACTAGGATTTGAAATGTGACGTCAGCGCCTGGCAACGTGTCTGGACTGGTGCGGGAATGAAACGAGAAAACGCGAAACGAGATATCTCGGGCGTGGACCCCAAAGAGTTAACAGAAAAAATGTGCGAAAGCAATTCGCTAGCCGAGCTCAAATCGACAAATGATGATTTTTTTTTTTCTGAGTGGACGTTTTAGTCCGAGAGCATTCTTAAATTTGAAGGTATGATTCCCAGGTAAGTACGTCATTTCATCCTTCTCTAGAGATGACTCACCAGATAGAAAAAGTCGTGGGAGTTCCGCTCCCAGTCCTTGAGAGGGATCCAGTAAAGGTAGATATTCCTGTGGCTATCGTCGATCCGATCTACGTAAAAACTCCCCGGGGGCATTCCTGGGCTCCTGTTTGGTGCTACACACGACATGGAACGAGCCCAACGAGCAGTGCTCCACTATATCCAAAGAAAGATAGACAGGAGGAGGAAATCAAAGAATCGAAGTGTACCTTTTGGCAGGGTTTGGTTGTAGACCTCGGAAGTAACAGACCAGAGATCCGGGAATTCTGCGTCCAATACGATGGCCTTCATCTTGACATCATAGATGGTATTCGGTATGAGGCCTGTCAATGTATAGTTCCAGGACTGCTGATCCGAATGTCCTGGGATCGTGTAATTCGTCTCCTGGAAAAAAAAATTAGATACCCGGTCTGAGTATTTTACGACACTCGAGAAGATTTCATCGGGAAGAGGTGCTTTTTACTCCATCAGACAATTCCCGTCGATTTCCGTACCCAAAAGGAACATCAGTTGCATCTCTTTCTTGATCCCCATTAGCTTCTCCTCGTGATAACGTCTCGTTGCGTTTTTTTTTAATATTGATATTCCATTCGTGAAATTAATGCAAGAATCACATAGAACAGAATGCACTTTGCCATGAGCTAATCACTTCAATGAGCATTGCACGAGTTTTCGTCGCCCTTCATATAGTAGTTAATAAGAAAAATCGGGGCACACGACTACCTTGCGATGAAACAATTAATCCCGTTGATCTTCTGTCCTAACGTTTGGCTGTCGACTGAATCGACTCAGGACAGCGGGATTTCCGTTCTAATTTAGAGCCCTCATCTTCCTGTTGACTCGAGGTGGCACATAACCTGTTTCGGCACGAATTGAAGTGCGATTATCGTTTTATTCAAGGCATGATTCAATTAGAGGTTTTTTCTCTACGTTCTCACTCGCGACCGAGCGGAAGAAGCCCAATTTGTGTTTCGAGTTCATATGTAGAGGCGGGAAAAGATCGCGAACCCATTCACTTGGCATAGGGAGAAACGTGAAGTGATTGTTTCGTCGGTCTTCACGCTCTAACCGCTTCTAACCCCATGCCTCTTGCGTGACGGAACATTTAACTCGCCGGGGCTAAAATGTCGAGAAAAGGAGATGGGAGTGCGCACGAGGTTGAACCAGGTGTGGCCCACATATTCAGGCCGTGAGTAACATCAACTAATGCTAAAACCAATCAACGACTTGAATACTGAGACCTACTGATTCTGTTGCTCCTGGTAGTATTGAGCATTTGACATTCCACAAATACATGAGACTGTCAGTCCGGATGCACTTTCATCCAGTCTGAGAAAACCAGAAAATGCTGATAGATGGAAAACGGACGGGACGAAGTACAGGCGCACGAATTTAGGTCGTTTAGGCGCCATTTTCTGGTGAACCGTGCGTACCGCAGTTGCTAATCACGAAAGACTAGAATGACATGAGCAAAAGGGGACGTTCTGTTACATTGCTTCCCGCGTTCAGATTCGACGGAACCAGTCGACTCGATCACCCCCAGCTTGAATGTCTCAGGGACAAGATCAACGGTCGAGGGGACGTACGCTAACGTAACGGGCATCCCTGGTGCAGTTCGGTCGGATTGCCCACTGGATGTTATGGACGATGGAGACGTTGAAGCGAAATAAGTCAGCCGGGAGATCCCAGGTGACGTCCAATGCTTCTGCGTCCACTGCTTCCACCTCGACATTCTCCAATTCCTCGATCTTGACTATATTCAAGGAGAGAATGAACTTTGGGCAGTAGCATGATGATGATGGTGATGTTGACCCAGAATGATGCACATGCCGAGCTTTCTCGTTCCTTATGAGCTATAATGGGTACATCAATCTCTAAAATTTGGAAGCAAGAAGACGAAATGACAGGCACCCAGTTCCCTGTGTTTCTGTGCAAAAAATACAACAGCCCCTGAATTGCACGAATTTCCATCCCCTTTTTGAAGTTGGTAATGGAAAATGCAATCAGCGAAGTAACTTTACCGCAGAAAGCCAACTATAGTGCTCTGATTTTCTTCTTTGCTTTCAACTGAAATTTACTATTTGGAATTCGATTAATATTTCTCATGTGAAAGAAATGACCGGAGCCACGCTTCCTCCGAAGATCGAGTAAAGACAGGTTTCCAAGGAAAGGTATGCATTTCGTTCATCGCCTAAATCATTCATCGTCCAGTAAGTTTAGGCTCGCTTGAACTAAATTACCTTGTGATGGCGGAAATAGGCGGACATGCATGATTCTCGGACGGAATCCCTCAAGGGATTCCTGTGTGTCGCCTTCGCGACACACAAACCCCCCTTTTTAAGTATAGCAGAAGTTTTATGCTTTCAAACATGATTATATTCAACTAAAATAAAGAAGCATGTATGTGTCGAGTTATTAAAACAAACGAATATTTATCCTCAAAATCCATTTTGTCGAGAAAAAAGTCGTTCCTCACAAGTTAAAAATATCCAAAAAGAAAAAGAAAACGTCCAAGGTGCATCTTTCCAACCACAGCCAACGACACAATATATTTTCGTGAAAGACGTGAGAGAAAAAAAATGCTGCGAACACAAATGCAGTCTTAGTTTTCGCAGGCAGACTGGTGGATGGACAAACTGGATTTTAAGTCTCAGTTAATCCACGATTAGCTGAATTCAACAATACCAGCATACAGCAGAGGCGACAGCGTCTTCGATCCTGTGTGCATGCGTGCGGTATTGATTGAAATTGCTACAATTTAGAGATTTATCAAAATGAATAAAAAATCCAAATTTGTGCAGCGGAATTTGTCCTCCTGCGATTGCAGCAAAACAATCTCTACTATGATGTCATACTAAGCGCAATCCTTTTTCCCACGCTGTTTCCCTTCAACACAGCGTAAATGGGTTGCATAAAAAATATTAAGCCCAAGCAAGAAATTGTCCTTTTAAGAACCGCTGCTGGAATAGGATTGTGCAATGCTCTCTAAATGTGGGGGGTTTTGAGACGGTTCTAAAGAGAAAACTTCTGTCCCTCCTGAGAAGAAACAGTTTTTGACGTCGTTAGATCGAAATATAAAAATCAAAAGGCATTTAACCGCTGAATTTAATTTTTCGAATAGGCTTAGGTTCTGTGAATGGAAATTCTTCATTTCTGTTCTCATTTTCCATTCCCGAGTGAAGCGGGATGACATGAATCGTAAAAGGGATTAGACTCACCGTTCCGATAGTGCTCGAAAGGATAAATGAAGACCGGATTCCCGAGCGGATTTTCGGCCCTCACCGTGATGTTCGCCTCCGTCTCGCCGGGTCGATAAGGAGGAGTCTGGCCCTTCGTCGCCTCGCATGAGTTTGGGTTCGTCTGCCGGCATTCTGTCGTCACCGACCTTTCATCGTATCATTTTCGGTAGGATCAGAATATTCAGAAATCCACGAGGAATCGATCGTGTGAAATGTAGGTACCCGTCGGTCTGGATGTAGAAAAAGTAATCCGTGTGAACGGGATTCTCCGCTTCCGACCATTGGCAATAGAGCAGCTCCAACTGCATCGACCAACAACGCCAAGATTTCAACTCTAGCGGTGGATCTATTACCAATGCATGACCTCATTTACTGTTGGAGCAAAAGAATCTGTTGAAAAGAAAATGCCTCTTACAGCCGATCTCCAAGACCGCAGTGTCCAGCATGGAAAGGTTATTGTCGTCGGAAACGTTCCCGCAATAGAACCGACCGGAATCATTCGCAGATGCATTGACGATGATTAAGGACACGGTAGTTTCATTCCATGTAGAATTCGGCTCGACGACGTCGCCAGAGGGAAACTGAAATCTGAGGTCAGAGGTGATGAGCCCCTCAGATAACCCAGCTTCTGTCAGAGTACAGATGAGCTTGATGTTCTCCCCGCTTTCGAAGATGTATTCTCCAAAGTTGCCCAAAATTCCTCCTTCCGGCTGTATTTCTACCAATCATTCCGAATACTTCTCACGCCCGCCATTTTTTCATGCCAATGTAGAGGGGGTTCCAGTGGACGTCATGAAGTTAGAAGAAAATGAGCAAAACTGAAATTACTTTGTTTTGAAGGACTTGAAATCCCTTTCTCTTAACTACTAACATATATTAGTTCATTTTCGTAATTTTCCCTTTGCTTCAGATGTTCATGACTCCAGTTGGAACCCTTTTCCGATATCGTGTGCCAACTCACGAGCCAACTCTCCGGGGCTAAAGGATCCATGAATTCCCGCTTCCGTCACGACAGCGAAGACTCCAAGCGCGACGAGGAGCGCGAACGTCCCGGACCGCATTCTCCCTCCGGATGGATCGGTCGACTGCGCGAGGCCTGCTGTCCTTCGGGAAACCCCCACTTCCTTCAGTTGCATCCCGTTCGAGTCGATTCGCGCTTCAGTTTCGCAGGAGCTTTCGAAGTTTGGAACTGTTTATGTGGGTAGAGTTGGTTTGCCTTCAATGGCGGGTATGAAGCCTCATGTTTTCTTCTTAAATGTTGGGTTTAAATGCGAAGGGAAGTAACCCTTCAGCAAGAAGATTCTTTTTCTGGTAATATTTATAATTTAATCGCAGTTGATTGATGTGCTAAATGGATATGAGAGAACTAAACGCTTCTCATGATATCGATTCAATCCTGAGCATAGAGATTATTTACACTGTGTGTTAAAAGTCTAAAATAATGTGGTCTTCCTTCACCATTCATTCATATTAGTTAAAGGAGATCGCAAGGGGAAAATATGAATTCCGAATGTGCTCATCATCGTAAGCGCAACAGGTTTCGAGGCGTTACAGTCGTTTCCTCGGAATATTCCAGCTTGCGAGGTGTAATGGAGCGAAAAACCAGGGTAATTTGGCGGTAATAATCCCTTTACCATGTGTTTCCAGACTTCCAAAAGACAAAAAAAATTGTATCGACGTCAAAAGAGATATGATTTTACGAGCGTTGACCAGGGTGTGCCTCGAGGAAAGTTGACTCGGACCAAAAGAGTTTATACAAAATTGCTCGTCTCACTAAAAAAAAAAAAGGTCATTCGTTCAAAATAATCCTCGAAGAGAAAGTGGCATGATAAAGTTCGACATCTCCTGGAAATTTCATCCGGGAAAACAACATCGCGAAGCGAGAAAAAACCGAGGGATAGCTCTTGCAATAACGACGGAACATGTCGGCATAGCTGAGCGATAGAAGACGCAAGGTAATGCACATTCTTTTCTGCTTGGAGGTTTGACGAGTAAATTCTCTAAGTAGGTTTTTTTTTCCCCCGAATTATCCAATAATTAACATATCCATCATGAGAGTGAAAGTTTTTCGAGATTCACTTAATGCTACTCAAATAGTACGTAATACACCATGAATAATTAAATGAGGAACCACATATTGATTATCGTTGAGGGTGTGGAATGGAACATTTCCTCACGCGAGGACCAGCATTTTCCTCATCGAAAGCTTCCACTGAAGTGAATTCTGCATTCAGCTTGTTATGTAATGTCTACGTGTGTATGAGGCTGCTCAGATTGCCACATTCTTCCGGGCATTTTCTGGTATCAGTTGAGGATTGCGACTTCTTGTCGAAACGGAGGATGAGTATTTCCTCATGAGAGGCTGCTGAGTCATGCACGAAGAGATGACCCGATGGAAGCGTCGGCGCAGGAGACATCGGCAACGTCGTTTCGTATCTCGAAAAGCAATTACCGCTATCTGTCTGTGTTGTTCGGAAACTCTTCCTCTCGTGGCGATCGGATTCGAGCCGTTCTATCGATGGAAAGCTCGAAGCCTTGGCAAGCTCCACATCTCAGATTCCTCGCGTTCCGACGAAAATCAGGAAGAGGGTCAAGCTATTACTCATTCATTACAATAGATTCTTGTGATGAAGGTGTGACCATATCCCATTTTGGATAGGGCTAAATGTAAAAATATCCTAAAAAGTGGGACTGAGTCTTGCATGGGCAGAGAGTGATATTGAGAAATGCACTATTCGATGCAAAGGGGGGAACTCGATTTGCAATACCAGACGGTGCAATCATATTCATCGCGATATCGTCTATCCGCCCCTACTTTTCTTGCAGAAAGCTATGCCTACTTGGTGGGATTTTCCATACGCTCAATGAGAGAAGTAGTTTTATTCCCATTTCCCGCAAAAAGAACTATCACCTACAATGTAACAATTATTTCTCGTCTGACAGAGATTTCTCTTCCTCGGAAGATATTCCCTATCCCAACCCCATAGTTGCCGGAAGCCACTTCAAACTCTAGAATGTTAATTTGGCATGACGATATTCCATTATCGCAAGGTACAAGAAAATACTCGATTCTTGTTCTGACGTCATTCAATTGCCTTCTTGGTTTTCCCTCGAATGATATATCGACTAGTATTGATCGAGTGATACGAGACATTGGAATCAATCGGGACCGAGATCCCTCTGCGTGCCGACTGGTGCACGGAATAAGAAATACCATCATGGTGGGCTTTCCGAGTCATTCTTCAGTTTCGATCAAGGAAAACAGAAGGACATCATTGCGAAAATTAAAGGAGGAAGCGAGAGAGGCCGACGCCTGTCCCGTCTATGTGTTTCATTCGGAAAAATAGAGGAAAGAGAAGGAAAACATACCGAATAGAAGGATGGAAGGAGAGAAGCGACCTGGAGACCTTCACTGCTGCATGCACTGATAAGGAACGCTTGCCGCCTCCGTATCGCGTCGATGGGAATGGACTGCTTCCCATGATTCCTCTGAACATTTGACTTTCGCTTGACGTATCGATTTATGAAGGGTGAAGAAGATTAGGGGCTTTCCTTCCCCGTTTTTGCCATTTAGTTTAAAAGATTCCGAAGCATTTTTATCTTGCGCCTCACAATAAACGACAAGAAAATTAACTCCTGTCTCTTTCAAAGTACTGCCAGTGTTTCGGGCGTTATTTGTGAAAAGTAACTCGTTACAATTGCAGGTATTCCATTCAAAAAGTACGAGTAATTAATCACCAGTAGAATTACTTCTCACCAAAAGCATTTCGTTACAAGTAGAAGTTAATATTAAAATTTATTTTCCTGAACAAAAATTCTGATTTTTCTACAGCTTCTCCACTTGACAGAAGCTGGATGCATGGACTGAAAGCGAAAGTTACCCCTGATTTCATGAAATTTGAATTATGATCATCAATGAACTGGATAAATTCTCATGCTCACACTTTTCCCTGTGCCTTTTCCCTTTCCAAGGGCTACTTAACAGGAATTAAACGCTAATAGATTGCAGCCTTCAGTTAAAAAAAATGCCAATTTAGCCATTGGTCATAGGTATACCTACCCCAGCCTGCCCCCTATCATGAGTTCCAGAAAGAAAAATTGAAAAATTCGAAGTCATGTTCTCTTGTTTCCCCTTAACCAGACATGGACTGCATAAATCCAGCCCATACAGCGATTGAAAATGAATGTTCACTAAATTTTTTACGATGTACACAGTATTTTAATGGCGCAATCAAGGAGATGAAAGTGTTTCGACCGTGAAATATGGGGAATTGGGTCTGAGACGTTCATGTTAAAAATGCTACAAATTCACTTATAAATCACTGTTTCTTAAGTAAGGTTTTACACTTGGAAGTGCAAGTGCTAGGCCTGAGCATTAACAGAGTCTAACTAATGATGGACCGTTGGGAGAGTGATAAAACGGGACACTTGAAATTTGGCGGACAAAATCGAGGAGACAGGTGCCGACGTTAGGCATACGAAATGTTTTTGGTGCAGATGCACTATCGGAACCAAAGCAACGCCTATCGTTCAGATCTAACGTTAGACAAAAGGTTGTCTGTACGGAGTCAGGACACGATGAAGCTCGTCTAGACACGCTCTCCGATGCTAGATGCTGAAGTTCTTGCGATGGAAAGTACCTTGGGCATCAGTAAAGATATGCTAGGCGTTTGGGAGGGGGGGGGGGGGGGGGGGGGCAACCCTCCTGTCCCACCGCTAAATCCACCATGGCATCAATGGAATTCTCAAAGTCGTTCCTAACCTCCTGTATCTCAAAATATTTCTGCAGGTACGGCCAAGAAACCTGCACTGAATAAACTGTGTTTTCTCAAGATAATTTCATGTCCCCGTCTGGCTGGAAACAGTCAGTCTTCCCTTTGCATGTTACCAGAGTTCTGCTGTGGTCTTTGAATTAATCGCGTTCGGAATGGAGAAGGGATGCTTCCTGTTTTTGTGCTCCGAATGAGATGCTGCATTTGGACTCTTCAGAGCCTTGGGTGATTTTTATTTTCATGATTCTCCTGTGAGTCTGCATCAAAATAATATTTAGGTGATGGTTCATCTCTCCAGATTATGATAGTGAATTTGTCGGAATAAAAAGGAAATTGAAAGGGGTTTTGTGAAATGGGTTTGCAACTAACACGTCATGCGCTTTCTTTCTTTGTTTTTCTGTCTTTCTTTCTTCTTTCTTCGTGAAGGTGAACCATCGAAGCCCCTTTTCGGTTTTTCCGTGGTGATGTCTTGAATACCTTCCACTTTACCTTACTTTCCACTTGATGCTGATGTCGTTCCATCTGGGCAGACGATCAATTCGCTCTTCCACTGTCCTTCAGACCAGTTCTGGACCTAAGCAAGCAATTCTCTCCTTTCTTCTACCCTCATCCGACCAACTCCAAGCTCTTATCGCCTCCCCCCCCCCCTCACATCGCACTTCTCCGTGTTGGAATTTTATTTTCCTTGGACCTTTCGCTAACCCGCTAACCAGCGATGATGATGATTAATGCAGTTCTATTAAATTTGATTGTTAGGATGAGATTCACTAGACAATTCAGAACCGATCAGGACTTTCCAAACTTTCGTTAATCATTCTCCGTCCGGTTGATATGTATGCCATGTTGCATGTCTATCTGAAACGAGAAATTAGGGCCTAGTCACCGCTCTTCTTAATGGTTCTGTTTAATTACTTAAAGAGCCTGTTAGTAAATGAAGTGCTCGAGCTTTCCTTGCAGCTCTAAGAGCTTCAAATAAAAATTGCCTATCTGAAAAAAATTGAAAGGTGCTAATTTATTGGAGTTTTTGGTGCCAAAACGTGCCCGTATGTATGAAGTGCTTTACCTCGCTTTTTCGAGGACTACCTCTAAAATATCTTCTTCCTTCTGGTCTTTGAGAAAAGAAATTTTCTCAGATCGACCAGTCACTCTACAGGAGGTATGTATTGTACTCAGGAGGAATCTATAGTATCTCAAAAGAGCGCCGTTTCTGAAAATATTTTCCATCTATATCAAGTCAGCCTCAAGATTTTCTGCTCGTGATCAATCAGAAAGATTTACGACATGCGTAAGTACCTCCCAGTGCTTTCAAGGCAATAGATAGAGCAATTGTCAATTTCGAAGGACGAACAGAATTATCTCACTTTCAATAGGTTTATTTCATTGAGTTTCATTATTGAAAGATGTTGATTCTAAGATTCTAAGATGCGTGATCAAGCGCCGGATCGGTATTAGGATTGATGGTTCACACGGGAATAAGCTAATTTTCCTCAGGATTTTATTATGAAATAAGTGGAATGTTTTGACGCCAGTCACTCTATATGGGTTTATGAGAATGCAGTCAGGGGAGTTTCCAGATGAAGCAAATGAGACTTGACATGCCTCCGACTCTCAAACGCTGATGGGGACAGATCTACTTCAATTTGTGTGGACCTCGCATCTCCATCTCCGAGAATCTGCAGCGGAACCTTTCCCCTTAAATTTTTTAATTTACATTTTATGTCCTTGAGGTTGCACAATGAGGAAAAATATGGCTTGATTCTCGTCATACCTCGGCCTTCTTCCAGCTCAGTCCACTGCTCCCGAGTTCTCCGTTGGCCGACACGGCGAATTTCAGGGATTCAATTGATTCCAACTCGAAAGCGACTATACTCTTGGGAACAACAACCCAGTTGATGTCCGAAGCACAAGTGGGCCAGGATGGAGGGGAAAGGCACCAAAACACGGTGAAATTCGTCGTCTTATCCTTCTCGGATGCCTTCCATTCCAACTTGTACTTCCCGTCGTCATACTTCTCCTTCAGGATCTTCGGGTGTGGGATCCCTATTTCCGATGGGATTTTGAAATACCAAGTTATCCAAAGCGAATTCATCACGTTTTTTTCAGCAAATATAGCAACATTGGGAAACATGGAGGGTGTGTCAATAGTCATAAGCGTATTAGGTTTAAGTTCGGTGTTACTGACGGAAACTCAGTACGACAGAAGTCTTAGTTCATTTTTTGGAATGCGTTAAGTGTGTTGTTGGCTTCTTACGTTCTACAACGACAAATGAATTTTTTAATGGTGTTCGATTAATGCCTTCAACAAGGCACGGAAACAAACGTTAAAATGATCGTCGGAAAACAACTACAGCATAATTAGTTTTTGACACTCCTAACTACTGTAAAATTTAGCGTGAATGCCGACACCGTTTAAAGCGAAAGACATCTGGCAGTTACTCAAGCACCTACGAGCCTATGGTTCCAACAACGAAAGCTTGAGGGTGCTTGAATCATCCCTGTAATCCATCAGGAATATGTCTGTCGTGCTTTGCATATAAAACCACCATTTACCACTCAAAATGCACGGGAAGCTACTGTACACACACATGGTCATGATGGTTCAACTATCGACTTGACTGTGAGGGTGAGTCATGTAAGCTTAGTTCTCAAACGATTATTTGGTCACCAGAGAAAAGGCGAAGTGCATCAACTACTTCCGAGCAACATGAGAAAAGCTTCATGCGAGTGCTTCAGTTGGTTACAATACTGGCTCCATGTTCAGATATACAGTCCTGTGATGCGTCATAATGGAGAAGAGAATTTTCTGCACTCATGGAATTTTCAACCCCAAGCGATATTATAATCGTGTCTCTCGTTTGTCACTGTACCCCAATGCTTGTAAGATTAAAAATACACGTTTTCCATATCTCGGCTTTTTTCGTTCCAGGACCAAATAGGGAATGCTTGAGGGACGCTCACGGTTCTTTTCCGTGTCGACTTCAATGATAGACATCTGAGGAGACTCTCCCACGTCGTTCCTGGAAACGATGTGGAACCTGTAGGCTGACTTATTACGCAGGTTCTTGAAGACGGCGGACCTCTCTGTCACGAACGTCGGCTCGACCTTGGTCATAGTTGTCAATTCTAGCCCTTCCACCTGCAGCATAGGAAGAAATCGTAACTCATTCCATTCTCTCTTCAATTTAATGCAAGGATTTTTTACGAGGTGAAAGACCCTGAAGTTCTTTCTCGACGAAGAGAAACGTGCAAGGGTAGTTCACGAGTCAAACAGAAATCCAGAATCAAAGGATTTCGTTTTATCAATACTTGCCCCCTTTGCATGGGGAATCAAAATGTCCCTCTATCAATTTTGAAATGTGGTTTCAGGCGATTAAACTTAGTTATTAAACTTAGTCTTCATTCGTCATATTTGAGATGATCTCACCCGATAGGTTAGGTTGTCGGAGTTTTGCTCCCAGTCCTCAAGAGGGATCCAGTAAAGGGAAATATTTCTGAGGCTCCCACCAATCCGATCCACGTGGAAGCTCCCCGGCGGCACTTCTGGGCTCCTGTCTGGTGCTTCACAAGACATGGAAAGAAACCCAATGAGCGATGTTCGACTAAAGCCAGTGAAAGATAGACGGGGGGAAAATGAAAGACGTGATCGAGGACAGCGTACCTTTTGGCATGGTTTTTTCATAAGCCCCGGAAGTATCAGACCAGAGATCCGAGAATTCTGCGTCCAATACAATGGCCTTGATCTCGACATCATAGATGGTATTTGGTATGAGGCCAGTCAATGCATAGTTCCAGGACTTCTGATACGAATCTCCTGGAATCGTGAAACTCGTCTCCTGGGTGAGAATTAGAAACCCGGTTTCAATTTCCTAGTCAACGCCCAGGAGAAGAGAATTGATACGATTGTTAGAGATGTAGACAGAGCTCGATCTTATATTAATTATTTTCTTCCTTTTTTTTCTGCATGTCATTATTGACATACAGAAACATCTGCATTTGGAAGAGATCATTTCACATAACAAGCCATACTCGTCTCCGTGGATTTCTCTTCCCAGTACATGCGTAAGATACCTCCCTTCAAAATCTCCACTTTTTGCTCTGTCGTTAAGAAATCGCATGATTTCCGGGGTGATTCGCCTGTCAACTCAAGCCGAGGATACCATAGAATAGATTCCTTCGCGTTATGCACATGGATGCATCTGAACCACATCTATCCCAGACAGCAAAACCCTTGTTATTTTGAGTGAGAGAACCTGGTCCAACATCGCAACGGGCTGTCCATATTGGGCCCAATTTGGCGCTAGTGCAGCAGCAAATCCTATCTACATGTCGTAGCTATGGAAGAGCCATCTATCTCAGTAGCCCAAACAAGCAAGGTTTCAACAAATGAAGCGAGATAACTTCCAAATGGGTGATATTTCAACGGTATCAGGGAGTGACTCGTTATCAGTTCCTAGAACTTGCCATGCAGTACCTTTTCCCTTAGACAACGTAGGTAAAACGCTCGATTCCTTCCGTGTGTTTGTATAAACAGGTTAAACAATTCACGAAGACTCCTCACAATTGTCGAGGTCGGAATTTTAAAATAGAGGCCTGCCACTAGTGGGTGAGGATAATCGGAAGGTAGACTCTTCGATTGTGGGTACGTGTAGATGTAGATGCGTGTGTGACTTAAGAGATCACGCATTGGATTTCCGCTGACGTAAATCCAGAGCGGAAAAAGAACAAGATAAGTGATGGATGTGATGATGAGGTTCTTATCACGTGTGGAAAATGAACGTCTCAGAAAAAGACAGGAGGCAAAGTACTCACAAGCTTTGTCTCAGCCAGACCGAGAGAGATTTGTTGGCAAGGTCCCTCGTATGCGGAGCAAAACAGTCATGTGGAAATATAGAAGTTCATTCGAAGCCCCTTGAAAGCGCTTGAAAGTCATGCCGCGCGTCAGTTTGTGATTTTGGCCCATCGTGGGCTGTCAACGTTGGCCAAATGTGGGGTTGTGGGGTTAGATGTTGCCTCAACAAGGGGCCGAGGGACAAGCCTACGAGTGTCCAAATGGACCCTCATCGCACATGTAGGAAAATCCACGAAGTCCCTACGTTTTCTCAATGTCCAGGCTTGCTGCCTGGTGTAGGACCTCCTGATTCAGTTTTTCCTTGCAGTATTGAGTTACTTTTTTCCCTAGCATGAATCATACTGCAAATTCCGTGCGCTTCATATTTCCTTCTATCTTTGAAGAATCCAGAGTATATACATATATCGAAAAACTTGAAGTGAAGGATGTATGCATAAAATGACACAGTTTTTGTTCTTGGGAAGCCCAGCTTCCCAGAGCCAAACTGACCTTGGCCATACTCTTAAGAAACACCTGCTACAAAATCAATCGTTAGCCGACAAGTCAACAAAACTACTCAAGATTGACGTGAGCAAGGAAGCATGACGTAGGCATGACGTAAGCATGACGAGAGCTGCCTTATGATTGATAAGCTCCTACCTTCCCTTTCGATGTAACCAATGTGTTAGCTAATCCCCGCTTACGTCACTTCCGGACCGGCAGTAATCGAATTGACGTACAGCTTGAAAATGTGGTTTCTCGGCCCAGGGACGAGGTACCCATCGGATGTTATGGACGATGGAGACATTGTAGTACTGCAAGTTACCAGGCAGATCCCAGGTGATGTCCAATGTTTCTGCGTCTGCTGCTTTCACCTCCACGTTCTCCAATTTCTCGATCTTAACTGCATCGAAATGAACGTTGGGCATGATGTTGCTGACACGATGACGATGGAAATCGCACATATTCACGAGGCATTTGCTACTCCTCTTAGCCAATCAGCCCCCATAGGTATTGATATATTCACTACTAGCCAGCAGACAAAAGCAATGAAAGGCGGGTGCAAGAAATTTAATAGCAACTGAAAGAACGATTTTGTCAAAGATATGAAGAATCGATGCAATAATATGAAGTATTAATATAATTGAAATAATCCATCAAAGGTCTCGGGATTGTTTCCTTTTTAGCTGGAATTAATTGATGGAATGCTAAAATAGAATTTAAGAAAATACTATTCCCAAGAATGAATACTCGAGACTTCCTTTCTCTGAATATAAACAGAAGTAGTGATGCTTCCTATGAAATCTAAGTATTTATTAGCATACATCGCACAACAAATCACTCATAGTCAAAGGAAAACATGAAAGGCTCATCCAGCGCAGGGGTCGGGAACCTAAACGAAAAGTTTGGCTCATTGAATCATGGTTTAAAATCTTCGTTGTTTCTCATTTGTTACAGGTATCAAAGAATGCGTATGTCTGTTGCCAACTTAAGGAAAAATTCAGTTGTTTAGAAATTCTTTCGCTCACAAGCACTTACCTATATCTTTATCTTCTTTATCTGGCTCACACGGCCAAAAAGGTTCCCGACCCATGAGTTACAGCGTTGAAAAGCAGCTTGTGACTGTCGAATTAGGATGATGAACAGAGAATCTTTGGAAGGGTGGCAATATTTATAATTATGCACATAAAATCGATACATTGGTGTATCTTGGGCTCGGGAGCGGTCACCTAGAAGTTACATGCGAAAATGCAGTTTACCACTACCTTGCGGGATGAAACAAACTCCCAGCATATGTAAAAAGATTAAACACCGTTTCTGTTTTTGTACCAAAGTTTTTACCATACTGAAACTTACCTTTGGGAAATATTCATTACGTAGATACGTGAGATAAAGAGGAAAATTAAAACAGATTCCAATTATTCAACGGGTCTAGAAATTACGTAGAAGATCTACCTTTCAGGCAAATTTGACAAGAATTCCTCCTCGTTGAAAAGCGGAACCATATATACTGTACATGTCGGGACCAGACTCACTGTTCCGGTAGTGATCGAAGGGGTAAGTGAAGACTCTATGGCCGAGCACATTCTGGGCTTTCACTGTGATGTTCGTTTCTGTCTCACCGGGACGATAAGGAGGAGTCTGGCCTTTCCACGCCTCGCATTCCTCTTCATTTCGGGTTCGCTTCCGGCATTCTGTCATCGTCATCCTTTTATCGCATCAATTTCGTTAGGATCATGGGATTTAGAAGTACACGATTAGTTAATTGATTGTGTGGAATGCGGGTACCCATCGGTCTGAATGAAGAAAAAATAATCCGTCCAAACGGGATTCTCCGGTTTCGACCAATGGCAATAGAGTCGCTCCAACTGCTTCGACCAACAACGCCAGGATTTCAACTCCAGCGGGGGAACTGTCACAATCACATTGCCTTATCTACTACTCAAGCAAAAGAAACCGTCAAAAAGGGAATGCATCTTACAGCCGATTTCCAAGGGCACAGTGTGAAGCATGGAGAACTTCTCGTTGTCGGAAACGTTCCCGCAATAATACCGACCGGAAGCAGGTGCAGTTGCATTAACGATAATTAGCAACACCGTTGCGTTATTCGAGATGAGGTTAGGCTTCACGACGTCACCAGAGGGTGTCTTGAATCGGAGGTCACTGGTTTTGATTCCCTCATTCAATCCAGCGTCAGTCAAAGTGCAGAGGAGCTTGATGTCTTGCTCGCTTTCAAATATGTATTGTCCATAATCGCCCAGAATCCCTCCTTGGGGTTGCATTCCTGCGAGACGTTTGGGAATCATACCACACCTGCTACATATTTTCCTCAAAAACCTGCATACTAATCTAGAGAGGGTTTGATATTGACGGCATGAAGTTGAAATAAAATTAGATGGATGGAATAGAAAACTAGACAATCTCATCAAAGGATAAACATAAAAATCTCCTTTTTAAAAACTTTTTTTTCATTTCTTTCTCTACACTCCCGATGGTCCTAACTACAGTTGAAAAACCTCTATAGTGTAGTGTTTTGAACTCACGAGCCAATTCTCCTGAGCCCCAGGATCGATGATTTATCGCTTTCGCCTTGACGGTGACGATCCCAGGAATGAGGAAAAGCAGGAATGCCCAACAATTCATTCTCCCTTAAGATTGGTGGATTATGGCCGTTGTCCGTCAGGAATCGTTGTGTTCCTGCAATTCGATCCAACCCGTTGCAGTTCATGTTTCAGTTCGTTTCACACGTTCTTCCGATGAAATCGTCGGAAGCAATATGAACAACACCGAAGAGGCTATTTATATGTTGATTATGGTCTTTAACATAAAATTCACCTCACAAAGCAAGATCACAAGAGGCAAGCATGACTTCTGAATATGCTTATGATTAACATATGATCAACAAAATGCAGTCCTGAAGCAGTCCTCAGATAAACTAGGATTCTATGTAGCTCTCCACCAGAGGAAAGGATCATCTCGCGATATATATTACCATAACCAAGGGTCATCACCGACTTATTGACTGAGGATGATGCCGGCGGAGTGTCGAAATAATCAAATTGGCTTCCACCCATCATTGACTGTTTAGGCCAAACGAATCCGTGGCAATGAAGAAACATATTCTATGCGGAAAATGTCCTTGGAATTGAAGAGAATTCCTGGAAACACCTCTAAAGAGCCTCACAGCTTTCCACCCACCACCCGCCTCCCCCCAAGCGGTGCCATCCGGTAGTAGCAGTTTCACCCACTTAGCTCAGTGGTTTCACCAGAGTGGGGTAAAATATGACGCCAGGGACCTGGCTAGTGGCCTGTGCTAATTATTGCTCTGTGTGAGTTTGAATTCAAGTTCCTTTTTCCCCTCTGCATACATCAGCGTGTGTCAAAACATGCGTTCGAATGTTCGCTCTGTACGAATGAAACAGTGTTGAAGTTCGAGTCGCACTAATCCATTCAAAAAGGATTACCCAGTGTTTGAATTGCTTTCACAAGAAGCTTTCCTCTTGTGCCTTTTGAACACATTCATGCTGATATACCTTTTGAGAAAATAGAGGCGTCTAGCTGAATGTTGTCTGGAGACGCAGGAGTGCTTCATTTTGTGAAGCTATCAGAGGCATCTCATGAAATTCTGTATTGAGGTTAGAATATTACTTATTTTTCATTATTTATTATTGATGTATTATATTGATGTATATATTATATTATTGATGTATTCATAAGGTTCCAAAATCGTCGAATATCGGAAGGCACAGCGCCTGGAGTTCTTACGGGAATTTTGCATTTCTGGAACTCAACTGGAGCGGAGATCAAATGCCCTTCATTACTTTTTTTTAGAGATCAATCTAACACGACTATATCAATTTGGAGTGTTCCGACACGTGCTGATTTCCAACACGGAGGGATTTTAACATCCAACTAAATCAGCTCTGTTGCTTCATCTGTTGAGTGGGTGTGAGATTTTCATAAGGGATCTTCGACAGTATCAACAGCGCAATAGGTTCCAAGACGTTGGAGTCTCAAATATTCTAATATTTCATCACATACGCATTGGAATGAAACCACAAACCGTGGTTAGCATCGACCAGAAAGTCTCTGGGAAAGTCGAGTCCGTAAAAGTTCATTCTAAGGGTGGATTTTTGAACAGAGCACTATCCGATAATGCAGCTTTATTTCTGGGAAACATCATGTATTTTCCCTGGAATAAAACTCAATTATCGGATAGTTCTCTGTTCAAAAATCCGCCCTAAAATGTGAAACTCAATGTCACTAAAGAATATACAGGGTCATCAGAAAAAGACGCTCCAGTTTTCATTGCTTATATTTCCTGAACTACATTGCCAACAACATTATAAATTTATATGGTATCATTCAACACGTAAGGCTTGGGAGTTTAGTATTGTACTATGCAGTTCTAGTGCTAATTTCGAGAAACAGTAGTAAATAAGCTAGAGTAGAGTACAGAGCAGCAGGTGTTTATAATGAAAATTTCTAAATATCAAACTGGCAGCATTATTCAAGTGCAGTGTGCTTTTCGTAGTGAATTTTGATGTAGGGACGCTCCAAGCATATCTGCAATAAACTGGCTAGAAACGAAATTCGTAAATATTGGTAATGTGAAGGACAATAAGAAAGGATATCCTGGTCCCTTCGGATATGGATGTTCAAGAACACCATACTCTCCTGAACTTATTACCTGCGATTGCTTTTTATGGGGACTTCTTCTAAAGGTTAATGTCAACAGGAATAACTCATACACGGTTGAATAATTAAAGGCGGAAATCAGAAATGCCGTGGAGAGAACACTATTCGCGGTTATCGAAAACCTAGGTGAACGCCTGCAGATAATAATGGATGCTGGAGGCTCCCACAATGAAAATGTGTTTTTATAATGAAAAACTCCCAAACATCCTGTGTTTTGTAAGCTATAATTCCAAATTCCATGTGTATTACTTTAGAAATACATGTGTTGAAAACTACAGCGTCTTTTTCTGATGACCCTGTATATTCAATAATGAAGGAAACTCGACGAGATTCAGGCGCCAATTCCACAGCAGTACGATCATGCGTGCCTCTCGTGGATTTTTCAGGTGAAAAAAATGACTCAGAGATAAGATCTGGGATTTCATGGAAACTTTTACAGTAAAGCATATTGATATTACTGTGAGAAAGTCGCGAGAGAAAATTCTTAGAATTAGGTTTTCATCCTACTAGCATTGCACTGGGATAGACGAAGAGAAGTAATACAGATAGTAGGAAGAATTACCCTCTTAGGATAGATCTTTGACGAAGTACCCTGCAACTACCCAATACGTTTTGAGAGCGAAACACTTTCGAGAAGCAACAAAACCAGCTCAAACAGCACGCAACATATCATGAATAATTAATTGAGGAAACTCGAACTGTTAATCGTGTATAGTGTCCAATAGATGCTCTGAATTTATGATTTTCTGATCGAAGGCTCTTTCTTTGAAACGTCACCATCCTATTGCGCCCCTAGGACGACGTGCCTGATGAGCCATTTCCTGGCTGAGAGATTTCCCGACAGGCCAAACAAACCACCTACGCAATTCCTTCCAATATATGCCGTCATGGTTGGTTTTCCCTAACTTTCTTTGAGCTTTATCTCGCGATAAAGGCCTTCGACGTTACTATACAGAGTCCGATATGAAGAATCTCGGATTACCCCATTGCGCAAATAAATGCAAGAGCGGATGATGATGAACCGAACGGCGAGATTCCTTCCTTTTCATTCTCACGGATCTGACGCGTGAATCCATTGCAATATGAAGTAATGCGTAAAACCAATTTTCAATGGCTTTCCTTTCTTCAACCCCCCCCCACTGCCTTCAGGTCACGCCAAGGCCCAAACATTTTTTCATTAAAAAGGAACTCAATACATACAATAGACTTACGGGGCCAATTAGGTCGTTGAGGACTGTAACGTTAGACCGATTTGAGGCCTTTTAGACACTTTCTTTCCAGGGAAGCGTTCGCCTGCCCAACGCTGTAGTAGATAGAACTTTAGGCAAACAAACAAGAGACAAGTAAATTCTCAACTCATTTTATGACTGCCATAATTTGAGAAGGTCTGCACCTGCTTTGATTTTTCTGACTCTGATTCAATTATAATAGCATGGATGAAACTGAAATCGAAATCCCGACGAGTTGGATCAGACGTATCGACGACGAAACCGCAGGGACCTTTCCAAGCGGTTTCGATAATATTGATCAAAAGAAACGGTAATACTGTATTTACTCGTGTATTGGGCGAATTTGTGTGCATATTTTATTGAGGTCGATGAGGTGGTGCGTCTTATACTCGGGGGAAAAATTATTGTTTAAAAAAAAAAAAACAATTTCTGCGTACCTATAACTCATTGGTCACTTACGGAAGCGGAAACAGTGTCTGTAGTCAATCAGAACAGTGGAAATATAAAATAATGGCAATATAAACAGGGAATGGCTCCGTCAATTCGCGCAGACTTCACTCGTTATCGGAATCGGAATCTGAGATGTCTGACGGCATGGAAAATTCGTTCGGGGGAGCTTCCATCCGAGGGGCCTTTCCATTTCTCTAGGAAATTTCAGAGCCACTGAAGTCTTCCGACGGGGAGAAAATTCAATTCGCTTCGTGAATCGCGCCGTTCATCCTCGTGATGCTTTGAATTTTCGATGTCAGATCTCGTTTGCTCTTGCAATTGTACGGATTTGCGTCAAGATCACCTCTAGTTTTACCAGTAGACCATCCTTTCGTGACCAAAAACCGACAGTGTCAGAACGAAGCGAAATGTTTAAACAGTAGGCGTCAACGAGGATTTTACTACAGAAGCACGGACTTACTCTTTTACGTACTTGGCCACTTCCTTCTTGACCTCCTTCTCGAAACGATCCCCTTTTCCCCATGATAGATTCGTTAGCAAAAAGTTCAAGTTCGATTTCAATTTCGCCTTCTATTTGATCCTCTTCCGTATACAGCACCCCCCGATATCGTACTTGAGACCAATTGCACGGATACCCAACTCCTTCTCCTACCGTATCGCTTTAATTTATCTCCTGCCGTGTAACTTTGTCGTACAATTCCATCCATTTTCACGGATAATGAAATAAATGTTAGAGTGACTGTGCCCCCTGTTCTTAAAAAATTTCAGGACAGTGAATGAGAAACTAGGTTCGACCGACCCTCACGACAGGGTTTACCCCTTACTCCTCTCCCTTGTCCGACATTTTTCGCTACGAAATAGAGGAGTGCACTTCATACGCGGTGAATCTTTTTTTTTGTTACGCGAACTGGGACCTCAAAAGTGAGGGTGCATCTTATACACAGTGGAGCACTACACTCGAGTAAAGACGGTAATAGGACTGAAGGTAACGATGAAGAAAGTAAGCGAGGCCGACCCCGGTCACTTACATTCACAGAACGAAGTAGAGATAAAGGAGAGGAAGAGAAGGAAAACATACCACCTCCGGATGGAAGAAAGGCACATGCAGAAATGGAAATGGTGCTTGCACTCTCACGCACGAGGCCGAGGACGCTTCCCTTATCCGCAAGAGATCAGTCGCAGGGACCGCCCCTCTTTTATATCATTGCATAATCATGGTGAACAGGACCGATGAGAAAGGTATCTCTGCTCTCACGTGAGTTTTTCCACGAACTTTTACTAAGAAAAGATAATTGTGTTCCGAGAAGGAAATTGACATTTGATCCAGATTGATATTCCCAGAATTATACAATAGGCAAATGCTTGAAACAGAACAGAAATGGAAATGGAACTGTATTTCTTCCTGCCTTTTTCTCTAAACTAGGGAATACAAATGAAAATGTTTGGGTAGGAAAATTTTTCTTGGTAAGTGAAATTTGAGGAAACTCTGTTGTGGTTACTAATTGATTCCCCCATTTTCATGAACTTCATTCCCATGACTCCGCAAGAAAAGACCACCCTAATGCATGAATTTCAATGGATAAGAATTTCGATGCTGCCTTGATGATACGGGAAGAAAAACGTCCTCCACTACCGGCCTCAGCTCTTCTCAAATTTTCTTATTCAACTTCTTTTTATCGTTGGTCATTGCCTTTCTTGAGAAAAACGAACTTTGAAGACATTTTGAAGGTGTATAGGCAACATCCATCTTGGCAAAGTAAAAATTTCGCGAAAGTAGCTAATGTGAGAACAGAGATATATTGATTAAAAGTTTGTTACTTTTTAATCCCCTGTGGATTTGGATTCCACATGCCGTTAAGATCCATGCCGAGCAAGAAGGATTAGATGTTTTCCCTCCCCTTATATATCAATAATATAAGCGTGAGTTCAGAAGTTTCCGAACTTTATCGTGCCTTACCTTAATAGTGATTTCATGTACTTAACTCTTATCTGTTTCAAAGTACTGCTTTGATACATCGATTCTCCTTTTTAAACACAGTTGTAATTCCGCAAACGCTGTTTCAGTCCTCCGTAACAAGCTCCCAGGATTGCACCGTCGTAACTCTGTTGATTGCGTTCCAAGGGGAGAAGCAATGTCCCTTAGGTTTTTTATAAAGACCAAATAGGAAGAAAGTCAGAGGGCGCTAGAAGAAAGGGACTAGGACAAATTTGACATCGGATCATGGATTCTTTGACCGAAAACTCGTTAAATAAGACTGACGCTTCCTCCGATGCATTGACGTTGCAATAGCGAATCACCATCACTCTGAAATACCTTTCTCCGTCATCGAGTGCCAACAAGGAAACGTTTAGGATATTTCAAAGAAATATCTTATCTACTTGACCATCCTTTCCTTGAATAATGCACTCAGTGAGACAATGAGATGACTGTGCAGCTGTGACTGGGCGTGACTGTGTCACGCATATCTACCCATGCGTCATACTTTTGCATTACTGCTTCGGAGAATTCCACGGGTAGCACTTGTGTCTGGTTTCATGATCAAAGATCCGCTATTCAGGGGTCATTATCTCGACAAAGAAAGTATAGCCATTAGAAGCAGTCCGTATTAAGCTTTTAGGTAGTATAAAACCCATAGTTTTTGGTTTGGGTATAGCCCAAACCAAACCCATAGAAACAGTATAGGCATGCGTGCTGCAATAAAAATTAGGTCCGAATTACCTCCTTTAGTTAACGATCCATTAAGAATACAAGGAATCCTATCGGAAACCTTGTACTCTGGAAGGACCGATAACTAAAGGAAGTTTCAACATTCATGGTACTTGTTCCCAGGTAACACATCCATGTGGAAACAACATTGAAAAAATGTTTCATGGCAACATATCTAATGCTGAAACAACATTGAGGTACCACATTGATTCAATGTGAAGATGTCATTTTCATCAACATTGTTTCAACATTGAAATGGAATGTTGAAACAATATTGACGGAAACATTTATTCAACATTCCTCAATGAGTCACTCGTGATTGGGTTTCTCCATGGATAAAGTAGAGGCAAATTCATCAAAATGAATAGCATGACCTGTGGATGATGAACTACATATACAAAAGAGGATAAACCCTCTTCAGTATCTATAGGTCAGTACCCACAGAGTACTGAGAAGTTTGAGAGGATGGGACCTCTTCAGTTCTGCAAACAGTACCAAAGCCTTGCATGCCTAACCAGTTTGCAAAACGAGGATAAATTCTCTCAGCTCCTCTTTTGGAAGATTTGTGAATGGATCACTTCACTCTACACATCTCCAATCGCCTAGACTTCTATGCGCTCACACTAAACCTGGACATTCAATTTGTTTCAGAATCAGATGCTGCAATCAGAACATCATAATTCCACATTTCTCTAATATATGTGTTCATTAATTACGTAATAAAAAAAGAAAGTGGGAAGAAAACGCTTTAATGGAAGGTGACAGATCCCTAATTGCATTAGGAGGCTACAGGGGAACATGGATACCATCTAGTGAGCACTCTTGGTACTTCATTTTGAATGCGCCTAGACTACACCACCCTAGTAACATAACGTCCATAAGAGGATGCAAGACGTCTCCGCAATGACCGTAGGATAATTGGAAATGGTTTATGTATTTGTTTCCGAATTAAAAAAAATATAATTCTTCAAATACTTTTTAATAAATGGCGTGCAACTCAATAGTTGTGGAGTCTCATTTTTTCCACATTGAAACCATGTTGTGGTAGGTTGAAAGTACTCCGAAAACCTATTGGAGAGATCCCACCCTTTATCATTTTAAGAGGGGTTAACAATTGTGCCACATCTAATAAATATAATCCGAATATTCCCCAATTGGAATTAACAATGTGATGCGATGACATTGTATCAACATTGAAACAATGTTCACCTTCAATCTTCAACATTCGCACACTCAATCCACATCCAATCCATGTTGATTTAATGTTCTGTGTTACCTGGGCGTGGGGCGTGGGGCGTGCGAGGCGCACTCACGCCCCTCGGCTCTTTCTCCCGCCTCACGTTCGTCGCGATCCACGTCGCCTTTTTTGGTTTTCTCTGCTGCGAGCGAAAGGAAAAAAGGTGCCGGCGATCCGAAATTCACGTTTTTTCTGTGTCGCGGAAGCGGGAACGCGGTGGCGATCCGTGTCGACGGGAGTGGATCCGTGTCGTCTCTATGCATTTCCTCGAATCCTGAATCCATTCTCTGCATTAAAAAAAATGAATAACAAAGAGCTAAACGGCGATTGTACTCGTAAATGCGAACTGCGCCGTCATGCACCAACCTCTTACGACACAGAAAAAAAAAAGGACCTTGCGAGGATTTTCCCAAGGCGGAAAGGCCCCGCGACGAGACAAGAATGCGACACCCGCGAATCCGAAGGGAATTCGAATGGAATCGCACCCGTCTGCCACAAGTGCCACGGGGCACGGAATCTCCCTTTCAAATTCCGTGTCGGACGGTGACGATATTTTATGGGGCTGCACTTCGTTTCGCCACACCCAGTCGTCTAACGAGAGACATTTAGCCGAGATGGAACTTCCCAAGGTTCCTAATTTCTTCACTTCCAAGCACCGAATCGAGTCGACATCGGAGAGTGTCGAGTCGAACGTCTCAGGAACGAATCAGATTTAGAGTTAGAGGCTATCCTTCTCGCATTCGGCTTTCCGTTACCGACCTGAAGAAGGAAATGGGAGGGACTGAATTATTTTGCGGGATCTGGCGTTCTCCTTTCGTAGATACGTCGACGTCGGCAGGCCTTTGCTAGTGAACATTCCCGATCGCGTGACTTTTTTTGCGATATGGCCTTCGGTCACGCCTGAAAGGCATGCCCGTCAAACCTCGGCAAGTCTGGCTCCTTTCGGAAATTCCAACCGAACTGACGGAGGGGGGAACAGCAGGCAGAAGAGTGTGTTCCCATAATACCGACCGATGCAAGCCGCTCGCGCTCTTCGAGGTTCGGTCAACAAAGCACGTCGCTTACTTCGTGAATAAAAAGACAGAATGTCGCACACGACAGGGTTATTGTACTTTACTCCGGGGACTTCACGACAGAATTGCGTTGCATTTACAGGGTGCAAAATACAACACTTCCAATAGAGATCGGGTCACAGAGGCATCATCGATGGAATACGCAAACATGCAATTCGAAGACGCGGACATCGATCACGGCGGGAGCCCCGAACGACTCCGTCGACGCCCCCGAGATCGGGCATCGAGTATCGTGTACGACAGAAGACTAGGAGCTTGAACACGGAAGGCATTCAGTGGAAAGAGCTGCAATGCAACGACACAATTGAGGAGTTCTTTGGAAAACGGCACATATGCAAATTCTCTGAAGAATTTGAGAAAACACAGCCTGATTATTTGTCTTTGCCATGTTGCAAAAAGGTTTAGAATACAGTAATAATGTATCTGAAAGTATGAATTCCATATGTATTTTAATTTTTCTGACTCTACCAAGGTAATTAAATGACTTATATTCACAGAAATTATGAGGCAATGTTTTATTATCTCAACCATAAGGCATCGTTCCAATGGTACCATTTAGCACCTTATTCTGTTCATTAATCCCCTCAGGTGATTTCCTCCCCATCTTTCCCATTCACCATTTTGTCTTTAAGCAGGGAAAAAAAATTATTTTCCAAAGGGCCAGGATTTCCTCAGTGAGATATCTTAAATGCATCAAGAAGAGCATCACAACCCCCTAGAATGCAGAGCTCAGGCCCAAGAGAAATGATTGGGGATCATTGAATCTGCCCTCAAGTTCTGCTTCAATGAGGTAGAGGGAGGTTTAGGAGGTTACCTTTGCATAAAATAGGATATGCAAAATTCTTTAGCCCATTTCTCAAAGAAGAAACTCGAAGCCATATTCCAGTGAACTCCTCAATTCCAAGAGAGCCTTTTATTCCTCAGTGACTGTCTTTTGCTCAGAAGCCACCTCTGGCTTCTCAGGGTCGACTGCTTTCCGAGCGGCTTCGTTTTGCGCTGCGAGTTTGCCGCACCGTTTCTTATGGTCGAACCAGTGAAGACGCTGACACCTGCGGTCACAGTATTGGACGGCGTGACAGGCCTTGCACTTCTTGGGTGGAGGATGGGACGAATGCCCACAGGTCGTGCAGCTGGAATCTTCATCCGTGAACATGTGCTGCCCGTTGATGGAACCCTGGATCACCGTGACAGCCATTGGGTGCTCTCCGACGGGGGTGCGACCCAACGAAGACACCATCTGCTGTAGGATGGTGCTCTGAGTGTAAGGGAATGCCTTGATTGCTTGACGTAGAAGTCTCTCCTATGAAAAAAAAAAAGAAAAGGCATATGGGGTTCATAAAATTCATATCAATTCATAAAAACTCTACCAAACTGATTCATTGTGGTTTACAATAAAGGTGTTCAAACATGTGAATGATAGGGTACACACAAGTAAATCTGCAAGGACAAGCAAGAAAGTCATTATTATCAAAATTTTCTTAATGACAGGATATTTTGAAAGCCATCATTGGCCTGCTTTAGAATTCAGAGCATTTAGTTGCTCAAGGAACAACAAAAATTTTAAGGTTTAAACATTCATAACAAATGCCGCCAGCATTTTTCACTATTAATACATTAAAGAACACTGTCATGGCTTCAGTAACAGATTTACATAAAAATTCAGGGTTAGATAATCTTTGTACCAAATGAATGATAATCTTAAAATCATCTGGTTTATCCACTGATAAACGATATGCTGAAATTCATTATAGGGAGGGTATAACTTTCATTAAATAAACAAAAATTCAACATAGCAAGGACTGAGTGTCCTTAACTACAGGCCAAAATACAAAAAAGCAGCAAGCCCATCAAATTTCAATGGAAAAATATTCAAGTAATAAAGAAATGAGTAAGTCCTTCCTTAATAACAATTAAAAAAATAGCCTGTCCAGTGTTGGTTACAGATAGCCATCAGCTAGCAAACATAGGTGATGTGCTCTTCCACTTCCTATCCTGGCCACACAAGGTGAACTCCAAGTGTTTTGCTTTCTAGCATTCTGCCTGTCTTACCTCCTTCCCTTTAAATTTACTTAGTATTAGGCTTTTAGCTAGCTTTCAGTCTTCACTACCACTCAATCATATGTTTCATTTTTACTTCTCACTCATTTCCCTTTTTTGCATTGACATATATCGACCTTCCCTTCGTTCCATCACATTGTTACAGCTGAAGAATCAAATTAGGTGGGAGTGTTCATTCATTCATTCCTACCTGGTACTCGGGGAAGCCATCGACATCTCGTCCCTTCAGTAGTTTCCGTATTGCACTGCTAAGGCATCCCCCATCCTGCTCCTTGTTCTTCTCAGCCTCCACTTCGGTGTCTTTCTCTTTGAGAAAAAACTCTAGAAGGAAAGCCAGGTAGTGAGTCTTGAAGGCCAGAATCTCATTTCCTCCTGGAGCTGTGGCCTTCATGTACTTTTCGCACATGAGATTGAGGACCCGACACATATTAGGCCAGTGGGTGATGAGATGAGATGCTGAGGATACGTGAAGCGCCAAGTACACAGGATGAAGTGTAACCTGCAGGTGGTGGAGATTGAATATTTACTATAGAGCGAGATTTCAAATTAAGATCGTTCAACCTCACCTGAATGAGATATGAATGAAGAGCAGGAGCAGCAATTGGTGGAATCTTGGGATCTTTTTCCAAGCCTTGAGGTTTTGTGTAGTACTCTACCATCGACTTAGGGATGAAGTTGTTGATGGAAGCCACCACTGCATGATGGCCTGGCAGGACATGAGGATACAATTCTATTGAAGATTTGCTCTTTTTTCTGCATCGGTGCACTTATAAAAGTTTCGGACACAAACCAACAAAGGCTGCCATTTGGCCCGGAGTTCGATTGATGCTGTTCGTGGCATCAGGGTCGGCTCCGGCTTCCAGCATCATCTGCACCACATCACGATTTCCCGAGAGAGCAGCGAAGTGAAGGCATGTGTAATTGTGAATGTGCTTCGTCTCGTTCACATCCGCACCCTGTTGGGAAGAAAGCGGGTTTAGGATAAAGTTTCAGAAGGAATTTAGCTGAGCTGTCTCTCCTTGCAGACAAACGTTAAGCAAACTACTGAAGAACTCACGTGATCAAGTAGCATTCGACACATGTCTTTATTTCCTCTGTAAGCTGCATGCTGAAGTAAGGACATGCCATCGGAATCATACAATTCTTTCACATTCTTCATAGTGGCCAGACAGCTCCTAACGGCTTCTACATCTTGCTTCTTGACCATTTCAAAAATATCCACAGGCATATTGGTTTCGTCTGAAGAATTCTGTACTTCCTTGGTTTCCGCCATGTTGCCGATCGGCCGTCTGGCTATAGAGACCTACCACGTTCCATTTCTTTAATTTCTCCAGGTGTTTAAGGTAGATTGAAATCATGAAAGTAGCTGAAGTTCGTCGATTTTAGTCGCTTAATAAAAAAGGAAAGCCTTAAAGGGAACTAATGAACGAATAATTCTTATTTTCTCACTAGTAGTGGTTTGCGATTCCTGATTTTTGGTATTTCATCATTTTTGACATCGCACACACCTCGATATTCCTCCGAACAGTCGTCATTCCCCTGACCATGTGATCGGCATATCCAGTTCAAAACTTATTCTCCCCAAACCGTAGGAACTGTGACCATTTCGTTCGTTCCCCGCAGTCGGCATTGCTGATCGAGATGGCATCATTCTTATCGCCAAAGCTTGCGAGTGTCACAAGAGTCATGGGCTCCTCTTTCTCATCGCCTCAGAGCCCACCGAGTCCTGCGGGGAGTGCGCCTTCTGTTGAGGTGAGTTACAGCCTGATGACGGCTTTTATTTGCTTCGGCTTGAATACTTCATGCTGTGCAATCTGTTCCGTAAGAAACGTTATATGCCTTTATGTAATTACTCTGCATGATATAGTAATTACGCGAAAGTCGAGCCTGTTTCCTTAGTACAATGACGTGCTGCACAAGAGAGGCTCTATACTGAACGAATGCTTCACGCAGGGTCGTGAGTGTGTTTATCTGTAAAAGTTAGATTGTGATCTACAATATCAGCTTGAAAGCCTTTGCATCATTAGTAATGATATCACAAGAAGCATTGAAATGC